TACCTTTTACCGAATACTGAATACCGAATACCGAATTCAATCTGAATAGCTTCCCCTATATTTTTACTTTCTATCCATTTTTTTTTCTCTTACAATAGAAGTTTTCTAAATGCGGTGTCGTCCTTTTTCCGATCTGTATAATGTACCTATCATTTCTGGCCCGAGTTGTGCATTAACAACGATATTGCCTTTGCCTTAATACTATCTGTACTTAACTGCATTCCTACTTTTCATTTACGCAAACCATACTATAAATTCAGAGTTATTTTTCATGATTTGTGTTTGTATTGAAACAATCACTTTTTATTTCCCTAATGCTGATGCAAATGTTCAACTTAACGTAAACTAAACCGCAAATGGAATGATATGATTCTCCTGTTTCGACCAATGATACTGTTTGGGGATCCGCAGACGTTTCTTCTACCGGTATGAACATGTGTCGAAACCCTAAAACCCTAGACCTCTTTGATTGATCTCAGTAGAAGTTCCGACCATATTCGCAGCCTAAGTTCTCTTGCATTGAGCGGCATATTAATTCCGTGCATCCAACATAGATGGTTCCTAACATCCATTCGATTAGAGTCAGTACCATCTCGGAGTACTCTCTTTATATAGATAGATATATATATGTATACATATGTATATATGTATATATATATATATATATATATATGTGTGTGTGTGTGTGTGTGTGTGTGTGTGTGTATGTATGTATATATATGAATATATATTCTTATTATTCTTATTTTTATTATATTATTATTTTATTATATCATTACATTATTATATATTATTATATTACTATTATATATATTATTATGTAATATATATATATACATATATATATATATATATATATATATATATATTGATGTCTAAATTATATATATATATATTATATATATATATATATATATGTTGTGTGTGTGTGTGTGTGTGTGTGTGTTCATGTATCTATGTGTGTATGTATCTATGTGTGTTGGTATAATACCATATGTTTTTTGATACCCAAATTATATATCCTCTGTGTAGGTTCCGGTCCATCCTTGAGTACTGACCCGAGTCATCGCAGAGAGTCTAAGATCAAGAAATGGAAATCAAGGACGCCATATTACCTCCCCATCGTGCAATGGGTAAGTGACACACAACTGCTGTACTAAAATCATATATCAATATCCTCTCATGCAATGTATGTGTCATGCCAAACTGCTATACCAAGGACAATACGTTTACATGGCAATACGTTCTCAAGCTGATGTGCCCTACTAAAACCATTTATCAATACCCGTTCATGCAATGTATATGTCATACCAAACTGCTATACGAAGGACAATACGTTTAGATGTAAACCCTAAAAACCCGTTCGCAAGCTGGTGTGCCCCACGGTATGCACTGTGTTGTGCTGTAGTATTTGTAGCGTGGTTTCTCCCGAATGTGTGGGTCTGTTTGACTAGAAAAGGAAATCGAGAACGCGTATTTATCTTCCCATCGTGTCATGGAGACCGCCTATCTGGTTTATCACGGGGTCATAGTGCTGTAAGTGGTTCACTGTATCACACCTCTGTTCTATTTTTAGGTACATGCCCTGTTCTATTTATAGGTTAAGACATACAGCACAATCTACTACATCAGCAATCTAATAGCTTGCATCCTTGCATGCCCATATCCACATCACTGGCACTATCACATGGGACATGGCCTGTAGTAAATATTAACTCACAACAACATGCCTTTGTTCTTTTTTTAGGTACATGTTTACTCTATTTTTAAGTACCTGTCTCTGTTCTATTTTTAGGTACATGCCTCTTTTTTATTTTAGGTACATGTTTCTGTTCTATTTTTAGGTTCCCGTCTCTGTTCTGTTTTTAAGTACATGCCTCAGTTCTATTTTTAGGTACCTGTCTCTGTTCTGTTTTTAAGTACATGCCTCAGTTCTGTTTTTAGGTACCTGTCTCTGTTCTATTTTTAGGTTAAGATGTACAACAGAAGCTACTTCATCAGCGACCATCTATCTGACATCACCGTTGCTTACAAGCCCATAATCACATCACTGGCACTACCAACTGTGCCATTGGCACCCAATGCTAAAAATACCTCCCAATCACTTGCCTCTGTTCTATTTATAGGTCAAGACATACAACAGGAGCTACCTCATCAGCGACCTCATCTCTGGTATCTCCGTCGCCTCCATGCTTATCCCCGCATCCCTGGCTCTTTCTGACCTGGCAAGGTTACCAATCAATCACGGCCTATACTGTGCCTTTGCAGCCACGCTCACGTATACATTCTTGGGTAAGGTTTAAGAGTATGCATATGTATTTTCTTGTGTAGGGTGTAGGGTTGTATACGTTTTGGTACGGGTTGTCTGAGATTCAGGATATACGTAATAGGTATGGTTGTTTTTGAGGTATAGAATTTCTAGCATATGTTTTAACGTATATAAACATGTATGTAGTTATTTGATAATTATAACCCCTGATCAATTTTAGGGTATATGTGTATTTGTACGGGTTGTTTGAGATTCATGACATGAATGTATTAGGTATGGTAGGTTTATTTGAGATTAAAACTGCCTGGTTTTTGTTTTAGTGCATATATATATATAAACATACGTATGAGGTTTATAATCCCTGGGTCAATTGTAGGGTATATAGGCCTATATGTCTGGTTTATTTGAGACATAGCACTGATAGATATTTAACTACCAGCGTATAGTAGGCACACCTTCCTGCCGAAACAATCACGTGGAGCTTGTTATCTCGATTTCTAAGTGCAGTTGTGTGGGATGCATTCTTCGATTGTTCTGGTCTTGGCCGTGCTTTAATTGAATACTTAAAAATTACGTAAAGTGATGCAGCTTTTAATATTTTTCCATGAACAATTACAATGTTATTATGCTAAAGAGTAGGTATATTATGTTTCACCATCGATATATATATATATATATATATATATGTGTGTGTGTGTGTGTGTGTGTGTGTGTATGTATGTATGTATATATATGTATATGCATATGTATGTATAAATAATTAAATATATATATATATATATATATATATGTATGTATGTATGTATGAGAATATATATATATATATATATACATGCATACCCGCCTGATAACTTGTACACATTATCTCAACCTCCAATACCATTCAGGTACGAGTCCCCAGATGTCGGTAGGGCCAGAGGCTGTAGTGGCGATTTTAACGGGCATGCAATTGGCACCGTATGAGGTGTGTAGGGAACATCATTTTTAACGTAAACGTATTGCCATTATAGAGTTCTTTTTTCTCACTTAATTGCTTCCTCATATGCATCTGCTTATTTCTATTTCATGCTCTGACCTTTTTCTCAGGGTGAGGATAAGCTCATAGCGGCAGCCACATTAACTTTGATGGTAGGCTGCATCACCATCGCCCTCGGTCTTTTAAGGTGTGTGATACCTGTGTACATATTCATGTGTGTGTACGTATATGCATAAATAGATATGTATATCAAATTTAATTAGGTTGGAAATGTGAATATATATATATATATATATGTATATGTATGTATGTATGTATACATTATATATATATATTTATATATATATATATAATATACTTATATCTATCTATATATATATATATATATATGTGGTGTGGGTTGGGGTTTTTTGTTGTTTGTGTGTGTGTGCGTGTGTGTTTGTTTTGTTTGTATGTATATATATTTATTACAGTAGTGGGTGCGATCTTGCTTTCGGCGGATGAAGCCTTTATAGAACATTGTTCGTTTGCTCACTAGGTAAGATATCATTCAATGGTAAACATCAGCAGGATGTGGATTGGCGATGTTTTAGTATTGAACACAACTGTGCAATCTATAGATAGCACATGATGCGGCAGTTTTCGGTTTATTCATAGGCCATATAGTTATTTTCTATATGCTGTGTTTGTATCGACTCCATTCTGCCACTTGCTCTTCTGCACTGCTTCTTCATTCCATATCAATTCTACGATCTATAAATAGCACTTGCTCGGCTGGTCTATAAATAGAATGAGCTATTTCATCCTGTAGGTTGGGGTTCATCGACTCCATCCTGTCGCGGTCTCTACTGCGAGGATTTATCATTGCCGTAGCATTCCATATCATTGCGGAGCAGATTCCGGTGCTACTGGTATGTGCGTGCTTGTTTCCACACGTGTCTAATTACGCTTTGCATGGCCAAATAGCACTGTCTGTGCCTATGCAACAGCCTTGTTTTTCCGGTGCTACTGGTGAGTGCGTGCTTATTTCCACACGTGTCTAATTACGCTTTGCATGGCCAAATAACACTGTCTGTGCCCATGCAACAGCCTTGTTTATTCCGGTGCTACCGGTGAGTGCGTGCTTATTTCCACACGTGTCTAATTACGCTTTGAATGGCCAAATAACACTGTCTGTGCCCATGCAACAGCCTTTGTTTAGTTATATGTATGCATACTTGCCTTCAATACATTACCCACATACCTGAGCCTAGCGCGAGTTGTGTCACCTTGTTGTGTTGTGTTGTGTTGTGTCGTGTTGTGTTGTTGTGTTGTGGTGTGTTATTTTGTGGTGTGGTGTGTTATTTTGTGTTGTGTTGTGTTGTGTTATTTTGTGGTGTTTTGTGGTGTGTTTGTGGTGTTGTGTGGTGTGGTGTGTTATTTTGTGTTGTGTTGTGTTGTGGTGTGGTGTGTTATTTGTGTTGTGGTGTGGTGTGGTGTGTTATTTTGTGTTTTGTTGTGTTGTGATGTGTTGTGGTGTGTTATTTTTGTGTTGTGTTTTGGTGTGTTGTGTTTGTTTGTGTTTGTGTTTGTGTGTAGTATATATATATGCATATGCATATGCATATGCGTGACTTGTATGAACGCCGAGAATTTCATTAGCCAAAACTGGTATACTTACATAGAGATGTACCTCTGACAACGAACTTACAAAACGCAGCCTTTAGAGTATCCTCGATGTGGTCGTAAACGCAATCACAAACGAAGAAGCCCAGGTGTACATGTAGATGTAAACGCTGTGAATGTCGTATGCGTGGTTATAGTAGTATACACCAAGTGTGCGTGTGTATGTAGTTGTTCTGACTTTCCAGTTATATGGGTGCTGGGATATACCCCTTACTTTAGTTGTTAAGAATGCATTCACATATATGCATGCAGATGTGTGCTTACTTGTGTAATATACACTTACACACATGTAAATAAACATGATTCTACACGAGTACATATACCTACACATCAACACGTGTTTGTGCGTATGTGTATACACACGTGTACATATAACTATAAATAAACACGTATTTGTGCGTATGTATATACACACGTGTAGCTACCGTGGAAATTAGGCTCTATGCTCACTACCATTCACATACCTAGTCAGGCTATCAAGTGTACGAAGAAAAACTTGACTGTAGTGTCACGCACACTATGTTACCTGCATTTGTAGCAATACACCCCTCACAGAAGAACAATATATCACTATGTAGTGGGTACTATCATCCGTAAGCTTATAGCCCTGATTTTAATATCCTATCTACCCCCTCTCGTGCATGTACAGGGATACACCTCCCACAGTAAGGCGGGCAACACCGCCATAGAGCACATGATTCACATCTGGACACACCGCAGAGAAATCAACTGGGCTAGCAGTCTGTTCGGCTGCACATCCCTGGGCGTGTTGCTGATGTTCAACATGGTATGTATCTTTAACATGGTATGTATGGCGTATTCTATGTAGACACACAACGGGTTATGCATGTGTGTATATGTGTATGTATTGCGTATTCTATGTACACACACAACGGGTTATGCATGTGTGTATATGTGTGCTATAGCATTGTATATGTGTATGTTAAATATGGTATGTATGGCGTATTATATGTACACACACAACGGGTTATGCATGTGTGTTTACGTGTGTTATATCACTGTATATATGTATGTTGAATATGGTATGTATTGCATATTTTATGTACACATACAATAGGTTATGCATGTGTGTATATGTGTGTTATATCACTGTATATGTGTATGTTGAAAGGAGTATGTATTGCATATTCTATGTACACATACAACAGGTTATGCATGTGTGTATATGTGTGTTATATCACTGTACATGTGTATGATGAATTATGTACTGGCAGCATGCCCTACTTCCCTTTACACCGATCACACTTACGTTGACATGGCGCCCTTTCCCATCAATATACCTACCTCAGTTTAGGGTTTAGGGTTCTCAGCTTCTGCTTACAGCATCCCCCCATATCACTCTCCACATCACTCCCCCTTCTTGTACCTTAGCAGAGTAAGAAGCGTGTGCCCTTTCCCATAACCATACCTACCCCAGGTTAGGGTTTAGGGGTTTAACTTCTAATTACAGCAACCCTCCCCCCCTTCCTATACTAACACCCCTTCCTGTATCTTTACAGGACTTAAGAACCTTGTACATTTTCCCATAAACATACCTACTCCAGGCTCAGGGTTTTAAGGGTTATCAACTTCTGCTTACAGCAACCCCCCACACCACTCTTCCTCCCTATACTATCACCCCTTCCTATCCTATCACCCTTTTAGGATTTAGCCTTTCCTATCCTATCACCCTTTTAGGGTTTAGCCTTCCCTATCCTTACACCCTTTTAGGGTTTAGCCTGTCCTCTCCTAACACCCTTTTAGGGTTTAGCCTTTCCTCTCCTAACACCCCTCCCTACACCTGCTCAGGCCAAGAAGCGTGTGCCGTGGCTGGCGTCGTGTCCCATGATTTTGGTGGTGGTGGTCGCTGCCACACTGGTGTCACAGTGGACCCACGCACACCTCAACTACGGCGTCAACATCATCGGCGCAGTGGACTCTGGGTTTGTAGCGCCATTTAGCGTGGACCTGAAGGTGGATGTGATCAATCACCTGCTTCCAGGTATGTATGTATGTGTGTATGTGTGTATATGTGTGTATACATGCATATATATATATAATGTATATGTATATAAAGGTGAAGGTGAAGGTAGTTGTCCTCATACGCACATACACACATCCACTGCGTGTCAAAGCCAATAAGTTGGCTGCACTAGAATAAGTATCAGCATCTCGAATGCATCGGAATGTTGAATAAACCAGGGGTTTTTCTTCTTCTTGCGAGTTTGTAGCGTGATTTATATAGCAGGAGAGTGGGTTTAAATGACGTATAAACCAGGTTTGAACTTACCGGTTGTGTCCTACTGTATACGACCAATGGTGTGTATATTGATCAAGCAGGTGTGGACACATACACACTCGCATGGCGTACGTCTGCTGCTTCTGGGTATGTAGCCTCATCACTCTGCGATCACATACGCAGTTACATGTACTTACTCACATACACATACTCACGTGCACATACTCCCTTCCACATACTCATATGCACATACTCCCTTCCACATACTCATATGCACATACTCCCATCCACAGGTGCTGTGCTTATCTTCCTGTGCGGCTTTGTGGAGAGTATTGCGATTGGGAAAGAATACGCCAACAAGTACAGTTACCGTCTCAGTCCCAACCGAGAGTTAGTGGCCTTTGGCGCCTCCAACATAGTTAGTGCGTTAATGGGCGGCTATCCATGCTTTGGCTCACTCGCACGCAGCAAGGTTATGGATCAATCAGGATCACGCACACAGGTATATGGTTGTTGCAGTGGCTGTTGTACGTGAGTGTGTATATTGATGTGTGTGTAGATGTGTAGGTGTATGTAATGTTGTGTATATATGCACAGGTGTAACAGGTGCAAACATGTCGGTCACACTCACACCCACACACATAGATATATGTATATACATATACATATACATATACATATATATCTATATATATATCTATCTATATATATATATATATATATATATATATATATATATACTCTCTACCTACCGTCCGTACGTAAGTACGTTCGTTTCGTTTGGTTGTTCGTCGTCTACTATATATATAGTATATATATATATATATATATATATATATATATGTATAGTACTAGTACGACGACACGAGTAGAGTA